GCGACTAAATGTCATATTGTTCCTGATTATTGCAAAACGAATAATAAAAAAGAAAGTGCAAAGGACAAAAAATGGATCAAGAGTTACTGTTAGTGTTTTACTGGATATGTGTGTATACATCAATGTTAACATCAATGTTAAAGTGTTTGGCCACAGGAGTTACTGTTAGTGTTGTTCTGGTTATGTGTGTAAACATCAATATTAAAGTGTTTGGCTTCATGAGTTACTGTTAGTGTTGTACTGGTTGTGGGTGTATACACCAATGTTAAAGTGTTTGGCTACATGAGCTACTGTTAGTGTTGTACTGGTTAGGTGTGTATACATCACTGTTAAAGTCTTTGGCTACAGGAGTTAATGTTAGTGTTTTACTGGTTATGTGAGTATACATCAATGTTAAAGTGTTCGGCTACATGAGTTACTGTTAGTGTTGTACTGGTTGTGGGTGTATACACCAATGTTAAAGTGTTTGGCTACATGAGTTACTGTTATTGTTGTACTGGTTATGTGTGTATTCATCAATGTTAAAGTGTTTGGCTACATGAGTTACTGTTAGTGTTGTACTGGTTGTGTGTGTATACATCACTGTTAAAGTCTTTGGCTACAGGAGTTGCTGTTAGTGTTGTACTGGTTGTGGGTGTATACACCAATGTTAAAGTGTTTGGCTACATGAGCTACTGTTAGTGTTGTACTGGTTATGTGGGTATGCATCACTGTTAAAGTCTTTGGCTACAGGAGTTACTGTAAGTATTGTACTGGTTATGAGTGTATACATCAATGTTAAAGTATTTGGCTACATGAGTTACTGTTAGTGTTGTACTGGTTGTGTGTGTATACATCACTGTTAAAGTGTTTGGCTACAGGATTTACTGTTAGTGTTGTACTGGTTGTGGGTGTATACACCAATGTTAAAGTGTTTGGCTACATGAGTTATCGTTAGTGTTGTACTGGTTATGCGACTAAATGTTATATTTTTCCTGATTATTGCAAAACGAATAATAAAAAAGAAAGTGCAAAGGACAAAAAGTTACTGTTAGTGTTGTACTGGATATGTGTGTATACATCAATGTTACAGTGTTTGGCTACAGGCGTTACTGTTAGTGTTGTACTGGTTGTGGGTGTATACACCAATGTTAAAGTGTTTGGCTACAGCAGTTACTGTTAGTGTTGTACTGGATATGTGTGTATACATCAATGTTACAGTGTTTGGCTACAGGCGTTACTGTTAGTGTTGTACTGTTTATGTGTGTATACATCAATGTTAAAGTGTTTGGCTACATGAGTTATTGTTAGTGTTGTACTGGTTATGCGACTAAATGTCATATTTTTCCTGATTATTGCAAAACGAATAATAAAAAAGAAAGTGCAAAGGACAAAAAATGGATCAAGGCAATATTGAAAAGACGAAATGACTCGTTTCAGCTACGCTTTGTACGAATCGAGACATGTCGGGGCATATGTAAACAGCTGATTGTAAATATGCTTACAGCGTTGCCGAATCGACATTGATTTGTGGACAACTCGTACACATTTTATACCATTATGTTCTTACGCTTCACTAATCATTTGTCTGATGACAGTCACAGAGTACATACTGTACTAGTCATCGAAACGTCACATATAAACACTTTTTGGTTGTGTTACAAGAATCTTTTCATAGTCTATACTGTAATAGGATATCCGTGGGGAGAGCCTGTCCAGCGTCGGTAGATAAAAGTGATCGTATTGTAATTTCGGTTTCCCCCAAAACTACCGAGAAACTGACCCGCGTTAATCCCCAAGAACGTCTGCCTGTGCATCCCCTTTTATACCCCAGCCTCCACGCCCTTTGTTACCTGTATCGGACAACCATTCTGATTGGCTTAATCTATGGCGTATGCGCAGTGAGCCCAGAACCTCTTCCGGTAACCCCCTAACATCCGATCGTCTAAAAAAGTAAACACCCATGTAAAAAAATAGACTGCACGAGTGATAGCCGCTACATACGCCGACATAGAAAATATAATAGCCTTACCGTACCTTTAGTTTCATTAGAATGGCAATAAAGGGATACACATGGAAAGCAGTAAAACAAACACTTAGACTAGTAACCTTTTTTCCCTCATTACTAACAAACCTGAAGAAAATATTACGAAAAGAAAAGAAAATGCGTATGGTTTGGTCACTCATACGGCAACTAGGCAACAACTTTCTTGCAGTGTCTCGAAGATCGCGTGACCTATATCACGGCCCTCCCGTGAGCTATTGCGAAGTGGCCTTCCCTACATGAGACGGCATTATGTCAAACTATTGTGGCTAAACTGGTAACAATAGTTCGTCATCAAAGATCAACCAAAACGATGCGAAACGTTTTACTGACCAACTTGGAGCATCCAACAGCTCTTATGTTTTTGGCCTCTTTCGGCAGTCCCGAATCGCTTACCTTTACTTTATTTTCTAAACTTTTTTCTAGCTGGTAATACTACTCTGATACCTGCTGATGGTCATTACGTCATGTGCTACCGAGCAACACGTCCAGTGTGGCAAAACCCTTCCTAGCACGTTGTGTAGCCAATTTGCGTCACACATGGCTGAACTAAACTAACGAAAATCTCACCCCTTTTTAAATTTCCACTTATTTTGCGGAATATTTAGTTCTACTTACAACAACATTCTTGGTGGCACGGATGTTAGGGTGGTAGCGCGCAGGGGATCGTAATGTTGAAGGATATCGGAGAACCCGGAGAAACACCACGTGACACCATCCCTTTTACTTCTGTTCGGGGAATCGAACCCCGGTCGTCTTACTTTGGTGAAAGGCGAGTGTGATATCTTCTGCGCCACGCGACCACCCACTGATCAGCTTTCAAGTAAAACATCTAACAATCCATGATTTTCAAGTCATTTTAACATGGAGAAGTATTGACGATTCATGCTTATCATATGTTTTGTAGATTACTCTAATGTCACTCATCATGCCTTGGCACAAGCTGTCGATATTCGGTGACAACATCTAATGTAGCCAGCAACCAAACATAGGTATCCTCTTCAGTGTCAGTGATAAAACCGCAAACAAGCTTTTAAAGGTCATCTTGATAACGGATCTGGATTCCATGTTGTTTGCATTTTTGCTACGCTATTGACATGTATTGCATGCATGATCCATTACTTTCTATAGCAATACAATCTATCAACGATCAGATCTATATTTAAAATATGCTCTGCTCCGAGGAAGGAAATCCGATGACCTACTTTGTTGACCACCTTTGATCCTCAGTGGAGATAGGCGTCTAATGGATATAGGGCATAACATTAAACAAACGTTTATCTCAATGTTATAAATAACTACATCATGTGGGTGTGTGCCTTCAGGTACGTTCATGGCGTTCCATTAACATTTATTTGCATCACTTCATTTCACAGGACTAAGATAGCAGTTTACAATGAATCAAGAACTGATCCTTTTGTCTGGTAATTGGGTCAGTATAATACACGGGTAGTCATAATAGATATTGATCATACAATTAATTGCATTGCATGATAAATTCAACATAAATTAATAGAACCTGTCATTTTAAGTGTTTTTTTGACGCATTGGATGTTACGATGAATACACTAAGTACACAAATGTATAATTAAACATAAGGCTTACAAAGCCTAAATGTATAATTTAGATGCCATTAGGTCTTTGTTTAACTTTTTTCATTCAACAAACCGAAAGGGGAACGATTGTACAGTACACATCGACAAAGTACCGGTGTTTAAGAGTATAACGTCCGTAAATAATTTATTTCTGATCATGTTCTTTATGTTGGTAAGTATGGATTATGAAAAGTTTCTTGTTACATAACCAATAAGTATTTCTTTGTGACGTTTCGATGACTAGCACGATATGTACTCTGTCACCTTCATCAGACAAATGACCAAAGAAGCGTATGCACACAAAGGTGTAAAATGTAAACGAATTGTTCACAAATCGATGGCGATTCGGAAACACTGTAAGCGTATGCACACTATTTGTTATATATGTACAGTAATGACACGATTAGGATACGCTTTGTTTAATAATTGGTCATGGGTGTGCGAGAGTCTGTGAGCCGCCTCATCTCGAATTAGAACTGGCACACTGCGGCGTATCCAAATGACTTCCTTTATCTGCCGCTTTAACAGATTGCTAGCTATGTCCAATATTTTGGAGTTATCCCAGTCAATTACATGATTTGTCTGTGTGGCATGGTCTGTGATTGCCGATTTATATATCTGGGACTCCGACTACTTCCTTTCTGATCTGGTGAATCTATCCGGTGTTCTCTAAGGCGGACACCAAAACGCCTTCCAGTCTCTCCAATATACGATGCGTTGCAGTTTTTGTATCCAATTTTTTATACGCATTCTGCGACGTTTTCCTTATGTGTTTTATCCTGAGGGTGTCCTAGGATATTGCGAGGCGTCTTGTGGGGCTTCATGGCTGTTGATATGCCATGACCGCAATATATCCTCTGGATGGTTTCTGATATACCCTTTATTTATCACATAATCGGCCTGTTATCAATTGAATTCGCCCGTGTAATATTTTTACATATGTCCCTAGTGTAATATACCCTGGAGCGTTTTTCATTGGCAGTGCCAGTCAGAAATCGATTGTGACGTCATAATATGGACAATGACTTGACGTCATCAATTGTGAATCGCGCAACAAAATGGCTGTGTCCGTTTGATTAAGCCCTCTACATTTTGGCTTTAAAACCTGTCAAAATGTAAGTTTTCTGAGTAATGTAATAAATAGTATCTTAAATATGTTTTCATTTCATATGAACTTTTATGAAACTCGTCTCGAAGTTTTAATTTTCGCTCGCCAAGGCTCATAAAAAAACCAAAAACAACTAAGACTCGTTTCATAAAATCTCATATGAAATGAAAACTCATTTACGATCCTATATATACGGGTTGACCACTTGACTTTTGGTTTTGTTCTTATCCCTGGTTGGCATTGTCTTATTCTTCCCCTTTCTTTGACACTGTTTTTATTCCCGTTTTATGGCCCATTCCGGATATGCACATGATCTCATTGCCCTAGCGATGTGAAACTGTTTTTGTGTTTTGTACTGTTGTTCTTTGACTATTATATCACATCTGTTGAGCAATATGCGTACGACGCCTAACTTCTGGTGTAAAGGATGGAGAGATTTGAAGTTCAGATGTTGGTCCGTATGGGTCTTTTTTCTATAGACCAATACCTTCACGGTTCCGCCTTCTTTCTTTACCAGTAGAGTGTCTAGGAAGGGCACTGTGCCGTTGGTTTCTTCCTCACATGTAGATTTGATGTTGTTAGTGGCATCTATGGTGTTGATATGTGTGGTCAAATCCTTCTCAGACCCCTTCTTGATTATCTCAAGTATGATGTTGTGGACAACTTGTGCACATTCTACATCTTTGTGTGCATACTTGTCACTGGTCATTTGTCTGATGAATGTGACAGTGTACATACCGTACTAGTCATAGAAATTCTTATCGGTTGTGTAAAGAGAACTTTTCATAAAATAATTGATATTGGTATCAACAAGATCACAAATTCATTGACACATATTTAAGTAAAACCCTCGGGCATGAAGCAGCGTAGGGGAGATATGAAATTTGATTTAACATATCCTTCCATCTTATGACTACTTGAAAATCATTATCAAGATAAACTCTAGTGATAAATCGAAAATTAATCACATTAGAGAAGCAAAACTCAACAGACAATGGTAGAAATAAATATCTAAGTATTGAATGGGAGTGAAGGAACGTTAAATTGTTTTACTGAATCTCTTCTAACGTACTTGACTACGGAATTATTATAATTACAGACCACAGAACACCCAATCTGCTTCTAATCATAATGCCAAGCTGCGTTCTAACAACCACATTCTATAAAAGCCGAAAACTTATAACGATTATTTTGCATGTTAAACGTACTATTAAAAGTCATTGAGAATCCGATCGCGTGCTTTGATTGACAAAATATAGAGAGTTATATACCACAGCGTCATGTATTTATTATGTTTTATTGCACATCATTGTTTTGTAGCTATAACTGAAGTTAACAAATCTGCCATATTCGATTAGTCATAAGGAAAATAGAGTTTTCGAAGGAGGGCACATTCAAAAGCGTCTGAAAGAAGCGGAAATAATCAAGATTTTAATTGTGGTATTGATGTTGTTTGCACTTTTAAAATAAGTCTCTTTATGTGCTGTTTTGAATAATAATCTGGTGAATATGGTGGTTTATATAAACTTTATTTATTTTACAACAATTATGAAAGAAGTTATATTGCTGATATTGATAACTCTTGTTGGCTCGAAATTTAGTGCGCAGATAATCTTCATGTTGGAGAAACCGGAGTACCCGGCTATACTTCGTCACTATTTCTGTTACTTACACGTGTTGGCTTGATATTAAGTCCCAACAGCTTGGTATTTATACCAGTCCTACTCTACTCATACTAAGTCCCAACAGCTTGGTATTTATACCAGTCCTATCTCCTCATACTAAGTCCCAACAGCTTGGTATTTATACCAGTCCTATCTCTTCATACTAAGTCCTAACAGCTTGGTATTTATACCAGTCCTATCTCCTCATACTAAGTCATATTGCTTATATGTTTATCAGCTGTTTACTATTATCGAAGATTTGTTAAACATCCTCTCTGCGACACCTTATCACTAGCGCACACGCGTAGCAAAAACTGTCCTATGTTACCTACTTTTATTCAGCTACTTTTGTTCAGTCGCTTGTTCCGAATTTACCATTTACTCCTTCGCCCCGGACAATACTGAAGTAAACTATATGATTTAAAATCCAGACTATGATTTCCTACGGTACTGTACCAATTGGTTGAATATTATGTTGAACAAGAAAGACTTACTCAACGTTTCTAACAAAAAATTAAATAGAAATAAAAATGGATATCACGTGATATCGTAGAATTTGTGTAAGACATGAACGATATTCTTCGATAACAGGAATGTAAAACGCATTAGTTCAAACAAACTTTAAACGTCGCCGCCATTGACACATACACCATGAATAATCCGTTCTCCTCTCTCGTAAATGGAAGAACAAAACAAATCATGAAGTACTATATAGGTTATGATAAAAATAGTTGTGAACATATTTATCAACGACTGAATGGATGTTAAAGATTCATGGAATTGGTTCTGTTTTCAAAATATATTATCATCCCAAGAGGGCTACCCGATGACCTTCCTTGGCTGAATAACATTGATCGTTTATGTAAATATTCGTACAATGGATGAATGATATAACAATATATGACCGCTTATTATAATAAAATTGATAATTATAGCATAGGTATCCGCCTTTTAAGGCGATGTTCTTAGTGTTACATTTAAATGTTTCTACATCAGTTCATTTCGAAGGATTAAAATTGACATTAAATAAAACTGAAACCCTATCGGTAGTTATTAGATAAGTCGGATATCCGGGAAGCAACAATCAATATGGATCATAAAAAATACTTGTTACAATAAAGCATTCAATCTATCATGACACTTATCGGTTTTAAGGTAATTAAGACATACGGGAAAGTATGGTTAAGAAAAGAACGACGAAACCTAACATGACACACAGATTTCGAGAGGCATTTTGTCATCTTATTTCTTAAGGATCCCCGTCCCTCCGCCTAAAAACGTAATTAGGCATTGTTTTTTTTTCTTTCTACGGCATCGCTATTGCATAAGCAAATCATTTCTGATCAATAACCCATACCTTGCGGAAGTTTCTTCAGATATTTTGGGGGATAATGAAAGGGCCGGTTTCCAAAACGGCCCCTTCTCTGATTCAAATTTCCTGTTGGTGGTGCATTGCCCATGCCGTTGTGGTCACAAATCTATAAAGTATAAAGATTTAGGTCACTTGGTTTATTTTTTATGGCTCCTCAAAGTTGTACCTTTCAGAAGCTGTCTAAGTGTTGATAAAATGTGCATGTTATGTAAAATATTAATGAAAATCTAATCAAATGAT